GGGAGCCCCGGCTGCGCGGGCGGGCACCGTCGCCCCCGGGAGCAGAGCGGGAGGAAAGGTAGAACTTCACGGGCAGCCGGTATGTGACTAAACACCATTGCTATTTTATGGACAAACAACCTCGCCACACCTATAATTAGAGGCTCTGTCAAAGCTTTGGAGCTAGAGCAGCCCTGCTGCACGGCTGCTGGTCTGGAGGCCGCTGGCCGTGTCTGTTTGTGTTGGACTGGGGAATGGGAGAAGCTGTGGTCCGCTCCACAGCCCCGGCGCTAGCACAGACTTCGTGTCCTGGCGTCCTGATGGTTGTTATGCTGAGGGCGTCTTCGTTGGTGCGGGAAAGGTCAGGGCTGGAGATCTGTCCAGCTGAAATGCCCCAGAATGGGTTGTTCCTTTGCTGGAAGAATCGCTTATGTTTTCGTGAATGACTGTTCTTGAGAAGAACCATCGGGCATAGTGAGACGTGGAAACTGACCGCTTGGGTTGCTCCGTGTTCAGCTTAGGAAATGCTTTGTCGCCCTCGTGCCTGATGGGAGGCAGCGGCTGCAGAACGCAGCAGCGCGATGGTGCCAGAGGGGTTAAACGGTTGTGATCGGCCTCCGGGGAGCCGCTGACAGCATGAAACTGTGGTGGAATCAGGCGGTGGGGAGGAGATGGCCTGGGATTTGTATGTGAGCAGTGAAAGGAGGAGGGCGCTTGTGTTTGTGTTTTACCCCAGCCTCCTGGGATGCTGGTTTGATGAGGTGAGGTTCGATCAACAGGTTTAGCTGCCCCGCAGCTTGCTTCCAAAGGAACTCTTCCCTCGGTGGTGCGCTGCAGCCTGGGTGCCTCCGGTGACAGCATCTGTGTGTGCCCGTCTGGGCCCAAGGGGTTTAAATAACCTCGTGCTCTAAAAACCCCTGCGCTGTCTCGCTTAAGTAGCCTGCAGGGTAGTAGAAACCCTCCCAAAATGGAGCAGCGGTCACGCTAGCAGGGCCGGGGCTGTGCTCTTACCCGCCGGTGTTCCCATGAGGAAGTGACAGTGGCTCAGCGGGAGTGAAAGTGCCCGCTCGCTGCGGGCTGCCAG